TGTCAGCTGTGGATGGAAGCCAGAATGTTCTGGGAGCTGCTGACTGCATTAAGGGTTGAGCGTTTCTGTCCCTAGCGTAACGTACTCGGCGCAGATGGGTAGCTTGGGTCTTGGAGAAGTCTTCCCTTTCCCTTCGAGAGGAAAGGGCCTTCAAAGTGAGAGCTCTCTTTGCGTCCTGTTTGCTGGCAAACAGTTCTTTTCCTTTGGAGTTCAGTAGCCATGGGGCCGTCGAAAACAGAAGCGGAAAAGCAGAGCATCATCCTGATCAGCGACGATGAAGCTGAGAGCACGCTTGGGAACTCAGTGCTGGTGGTGGACCCACAGGGTACGTACTGTGCTCTCGTTGTCAGTTAAGTTCTTTGCAGAACTTTTAGAGTAAACTTGTGCGAAATATTATGCAGTGTGCTTAAAATGTGTCTTTCTGCTGCTAGGAAAGCAGGGTACTCCAAAAATAAATAAAACCAGGAGGAACTGCCATTATTTCATAACTTCTGGGATTTCTGTGATGGCACTGCTTACACTAAAGGATACTGTTCTGTGGTTTCAAAATATTGCAAACTTAGCTTGGAGTGGGCCTTTTCGATGTCGATTGGATCCTGTTTGATTACCTCTGTTTTGATAGTATGTGAAAGCCTTTTGTCCCAGGCCAGTGTGCCATTCCTATTGGCACCATGTGAAATCTTGAGAGAATTTGTGCTTTAAAGTGTTTTTAAAAAATAAATGTCAATAGCTGGTGGAATTTGTAATAAAGTTGTCGTTACCTTTATGTTTATTTATACCACATGTTCTCTATTCTACAGAGGAGTCTGCCCGGGAAGAGAAGAAATCTGAAGAAGTTGTGGATGAGGAATGTGAGCTAATGGTTACTTTCTGTAAACAAGCCAAAGTGATGCCTCATGCCAGATACGACTGCACAATGCACCCGTTTGAGTACGTTCTGTGATGCGGAGGTTCATCGGGGCTTCTGTTTTCCACACTTAGTCCATCTGGTCAAGTAACCTTGTTAGCTTTTTAACCTCTGAAAGCAGGAGGAGAGTTGGGTTGAGCGTGTAACTTGTTTCATAAATAACCTTCTGTTTTTTCAACTCTGTAGGCGAATGGAATGTGATACGTGCTCGCCCCTTGGAAAAAATGCTGACATTTGTGATCAGTGCTACTGCTACATTTGTGATAAACTAGCTTCTGAGGTAAGGAACACTGTAATCCAGGAACGCACAACTTTGAGTAAGCTGAATTACTCAACAGTCTCTTTAAAGGAAGTCTCTTGAGCACACTAAAAGACTAAATGATACATGAAATTTGATTATTTTAACAGTTCCTCTCTGAAATGTTGATATCTGTCTGCTTCACAGTCCTACTCAAATGTGATCCTTGTCTGGGTTTATTTTTAGTAGTCCAGCCAGTTGTTGGAGTAGACATTCACTTGGTAAAAGCAAATGTACCTCCTGTTTGCTTTAATGTATTTCATGGAATCAGATTACTAAATCAGACTGCTTCTCTGCGCTGGAGAAGTGTCAGACTGTTAGACTGTCCTAACATAGAGCGAGGGAGGGGGTCACTTGGGGGAATTGGGGTTGGTTTGTTTGCATTTTTCTTAGCATTTGGAAAACTTTCGAACAGTGAGCAGAGTTGGGGTCAATGTGCGTAGACAGTGCTCTGTTACCAGTTTACAGTGGGGAGGGTGCCAGCCCAGCGTGGCTCTGTAAGGTATTCAGGAGTGACAATAAATTATTACGGGCTTTTGTTTGGGTGTTTTTTGTTAGTCGTGATATTGAGTTACTGCCGTATTGGCCTCTTGCCCTGATTGTCAGAATACTTCACTGTGGCTTTGCCGAGGTCTGTAAAGGACAAAATTAATTTAGTCCTTTGTTCAGAGGAACTAACTTTTGATTTGCTCAGCTGGGGGGGGGAAGAGCCTAAAACCTTTCCCTGTTTTTCACTTTTACAAAATAGTGCCAGAATTGGACAACCCCTTCCCTCTGTCACTGCAACGCTCACAACAAAAGCAGATTCTGGAAGGACCAGCGTGACTTTGCCTTGGCTGGTGTTCTTGTGATGTTCAATTTGGAGCTCGCAGATATAGATGCAGACCTTCGGCACGGTGGTAAGTGTCGTGCACTCCTGCTGTCCTGGGAGACCTGTGGCTCGGTGGACGGCTTGTCTGCTCCACAACTCCCCTTGCAAAGCCTTGGTGAATTTTTAAGGTAGCAGCTTACTGTTGCTGGTCTCTTTCTGGGCGCTGCTGAGACCAGACACAGGTCTGCAGGTCCAGTTTTTGTGCTTTCCTCCCTCTGGAAGAAGCAACAAACCTTTCCTGGCCACTGAGATTGTGTGTGAGTAACTTGCTGAAAGTTTTACGTGGGGTACTTACGCTTGTCTTTCTGTATCTTTTAGTTTTGGGGGAGCAAAAAAAGCGCTAACCATTTCACATCTGTCTGCTCTTGCAGGAAGTCTTCTAATAAAATTTATCCAGGAGCTTTCTGTGGAATATAATAAGTATCTGGTTGGAGCAAGGATGCCTCCCACAGAACATGAATGCTTTTGCCTCCCAAAAATGCCTCCTGGGCAATGCAATAACTGTCGATCACGCAACATGGAGGTTGTATACAAGTAAGTGACAACAGAACTCAGCTACTAGCCGTGCATACTGGTCAGTGCAGACTTGCTTGCCTGAAGTCAAGTGATAATCAGAATCGTGGCACCTGATACAGCAGAAACATACTTGAGAGAACTTACTTGGCCAGGGAGCTATTAAATTGCACTTGGATGTAGTTTAAACACACACTTAAATACGTCTTAAGTACAACTTTAAATACATCTCTTGTGCTGTGTAGACACTTGATAATATCCCCTGTTATTACAACCTGGGAAGGCATGAAACTAAAGCCTGTATTTTTACTAATGTGTTTTTTAGGATGGGGTTTGGCTTTTACTCCATGGTGTGTGCCTTTAAAATGCTGAAAGTAACAGTTATGCAAATACCCTGTCACTATCTTATACATGGTTTTCAAGGAAAAGCAAGTCAGTTTTCTCTCAGACTATACAATGGTCATAATTGCTGTTTGTTTACAAAGTACATCATTTCAAACGCTTTATCTTATGGACTACTTAACTTTCTTAGGTATTCTGGAGTTTTTGCGCTGGTAACAAGATTTTTAAATCAGGCAGAAAAAGAGAGTCCCAAAGCTGCTGCTGTCATGTTTCTGGGAGCAGCTAAAGAGATAGCGCTTCATAAAGACCCTGCTTTGTAAGTATGTGGTTCCACATCTAGTGTGTAATCTTTGTTTGCTTCTCAAAAGGAGGAGACGAAGTGAGAGAGTTTGGGTTTTCCACTGAAGTGTCAGGACAGAGTAAAGATCACAGCCCTGGCTGCAGCACGAGAGAGCAATGAGTACACCTGAGGGAGAAAAGGGATTGGTTACAGGGAGGGATCTGAGGGAAAAGAGAAGGTTAAAGGTTGGATGTGAGGGGAAGAACTTAGGTGGGATTGAGTCACAAGGGGGAGAGATGATCTCACACGAGAGGAAGGAATTTGAGATGGGAACTGGGAGGATGACAGACAGCAGATGAGTATAGAGAAGGGGAAAAGGCAGGAAGACCAGCCAAGTGTTAATTAGTGCTTTTTTCCTCCTGTCTTAGAAGCTGGCAGAACCTTGGTCATACTGCTTCATTGAAGATTGCTGTCCCTTGTCTGTTGCAAAGGTAAAATTGATCTTACCACATTATGCTGAGATGGCAATGGGATGGTTGCTGGCTGCAAGCTTTTTGCTGGCATTTAAAATGAATTTGGAATTACTTCTATTCAGAGGCATGAAGAAATGAAGTGAATGCTTTAGCTCTTAAAAGTGAACAGTAAACTTGCACAAGTGTATAATCTTATGGCTCTGTAGTGTCAGGAACCCCTCGTCAGGGAACACGACCCCATTGAACTGCCCTAAGCACTGTCTGAGCAGAGCAAGAGCAGCCTGCTGCTGCCTGCGTGTAGACTGCAAAGGGCAGAAGAACATAAGCAACAACATGCACCGGTCAGCCTACCAGCGAGCAGGGACTTCAGCGTGCTGTCAGGTTCTACAGCTGTGTGCTACAAATCAGGATTTTTAGAAGCTGTGTTTAACATGAGTGCCTTTCTGTGAAAGCCAAGGGCAGTACCTGCTTTATTTAGAGCCACATGAACACTCAGACCCTGCTTTGTTGCCTCAAAGGAGAATAACTCAACGGGGAGCTGGAAGGCAAGAAGATGGATTAGTTTTTGAGTCTAGGAGTGTTCTGTAAGGCCAGACCAGAAGGTGGTGTCAGGTAGCTACTTGTGGTGGTTAAGCCAAAGAGCAAATGGTGTCTGCTGGAGATCGAAACAGCAGCCTTGTCGTGCTCCACTGGGATGGGCTCGTCGGGGATGTAACATAGTAAAGGTCCCCCAGAGGCTGATGAATGAGGACATCTAGCTCACTTGGCTTAATTCATTTCTCATTTTAGCTTTGTATTTCACCTTTAACCCGAAATTCACTTGCAACAGAAGGTTAATGAATTAAGAATTAACTTTTTTCAGGAGCACTCAATAACAGTTATATAGCCTCACCTCTTATTTGAAACTAGTGACAGGTATAACCTAAATCCTGTGTCGGTTTCATTTTAAATTACTATTCTTGAATATTTTAATTTCTGGCTTTAAAAGCACTGGAAAAGGAAATTTTTGCCTCCCTCCCCAAATTTTGGAATAAGCTCTTCTTTGAGTCAGTGTGTTACCTCCAGTTTTCAGCTGAGACAAAAATGGTTTCACCAGGTTTGAAGCTGCCAGGAGCTCTCGTTGATCCGGTTGCTTGTCAGGCTCATGGTGTGTTTCTCGCATTTACTCACTGAGGATCTTTGCTTTAAAACTGAAGACCTCAGAACCTTGGTTTCACTGGTGTTTAAAAATAACAACAAACCAGCAATACAGTTATTCACTGCAAGACTTAACACACAAATTTAAATATACATCCAAACTGTCTATCTGGCATTTAAGCAAGAAAACTCCAAACTTCTGTGGAATAGTTTCCCATAGGACCAAAAAAACCACAGCAACTTAATAGTAATTAATCCCATTTTAAGATATTTTGAGTTTTCTTATTTTTTTCTTTTCAAAACAGGATCACAACACAACTTCAGAGGATGCTGGTGTTGTGTGACTTTCCAAAGAATTTATATGAAAAGTTTGTTAATTTTTTTCAGTCCATCTCACTTCCATGTCACTGTTTTGGCTTCTCAAATAGGTATGTTTTTTGGTTTTTCTTCACAGAATATATTATTTTTTTATACTGTTGCCTGATTTGAAAACAGTTATGTAGAATGATTGTTTTCACCGATAGTGTTAGGTGTGAGCATTTTATAGGAAGATTTCAGCATTAGGTGCTTTGTATTTGTCGTCTCCTTACAGGATAAGTTGTTGTTTGATGCTATGGCTAAGTTGTTATCCATATAGTGCTTTGCTTTTTTTTTTTCTCCTTTTTTTCCCCCCCCTTCAGATGTGAGCTATAAACTTCAAGATGTTTTACTGGTAAATCTTCATGTTACTTAAGGGAAATAACTTGTGGTGTACAAACAAAACATGGTTAAAAATTACTTTATTGTTGTACTTTCAGCTTGAATGTTGTGCCGTGGGACCATGTGTTACTGACCACTGTTCTAAAAGGCCAGAATATCACTGGTCAGAGAACACAGAAGGGAAGAAAAGTGTTTCTGTGGGAAGCACTCCCTGTTATAGAGGCTCGAGTGGAGAAATTGGTAGACAACATGAAGTAAGACTGGTTTGGTCTTGTTTGGATTTTTCATAAAATGAACTCAACTTTTATATTTTGCATGGTATTTACTGCAGTACAGTGTTTTCCTAACATTGGCAGGAGTTTTGTGTAATGGGGAAACATAGGAAACAAAGACACATTAGAAGCTGCCCATTGCTTCTTACCAACAAGGCCAGTAGCTTTTTGAAGTTTTCAAAGCAGAACTGAGCCCTTTGAATGCTTCAGGACCAGAAAAGAACGTTGAAGTGGATAATTTCTTTGTTTCCATAACCCTGGTAGGTTTTAGATGTGGATGTTTAAAACAAATTCTGTCCATCAAAGGCTGACTAGGTGGAAGATGGCAAAAAAGTGCGTTCTGGTCTCTGGGTCTTCAGAAGGCTGTATTCAAAAGAACACATTCCACTTAAAGAATTAAACTGAAAGGCAGCCTCCTGCTTTATTTTGCCAGACTACAGAGAGAATGTGTGGATAGCTTCTTGGACCTTATTTCCAGCTACCTCTTTCTGTCCATACTATTTCTATTCTGTTGTGCAGCATCTGTTCTGTGGGAAGATCTACTGTTTTGCTTCATTAATTGTAGTAAAATCTGATTTGCCTGTATATAGCTTTGCACTTCCTTCCTCATCCTGCTAACCCTTTTCTTTTTCTCCAGCTATAAAGAAGTTGTTCGCTACCTGAGAGCTGTGAAATGCAATGATACCAAAGGGTAAATGGCTTTTATACTTTTTTTTTTTCAGTTGTTTCTTTGCTGTAAGGTTGTGTCCCAGGCTGTGTTTCTTCCATGTGTAATGAACTGGCAGAATGCAAAGCAGTAGGATTTTGGCAGCTGTTTGCTAAGTGGAAGCAATGCTGCGTTGCAACTGACTCCTGCCTTGTCGAGTGTAACTTACCAGTGGTCAAGCATAATCAGATCTATATATAGGTATTGTAAAACTTCCATGTTAATGAAATCATATACTCGTTTCTTCTTTCCAGGTTGAGAGACCTTCGAGATAAAATCCCGTTCTATTTGTGTAAAACTGGAGGCTTCCTCGATGCTGCGCATTCGCTGCTGTTTCCCGTCAACAGCCTGGCCTGCTGCACTGCCTGCCGGATAACACCGCTGCAGTTTGAGGCCTACCTGAAGATGTTCAGGACAGGCAGCGTGCCTGCTGGGAAGGATATGCTAGACTCTGGGCCCTGGGTTACAGTTGGCAAGTGTGATTTCTTGCTTACATATGTTTAGAACCTTGCTTAATTACAGTGGTTACTTTTTCATTAAATCTAGTAACATTCTGAACCTAACTATAGATTGTGTGGACTGAAGCATGGTACATAACGCTAGGTAGGAA